GTGAGTCTAGATTTGCATTTCTTCCTCTTTTTCTTCTTCATCTTCTTTTAGATCTACACAACGGTGGTGGGGTAGGTGGGGCTGGGTGAAGGTGGGGCTAGCACCGATGGTGAGACTGCTGGCGGTAGTGGAGTGGCGGCGATGGTGAGGAGAAATGAGAGGTGGTGTGGCGGGCGGCAATGGTTGGGACCGAGTGAAGGTAGCGCTGGTAAAGGAGAGGGAGAGCATTTTAGGGAAATAACACCCATAGTCAACCCTTCAAAAAAATGAAGAAAAGTCCAAATGGGAAGATTTTTCCCAGACGGAGGGAGTAATAATAAACAATTTATTATTTATATAAATATCGAATATATATATTTATTATTAATTATATTTGACAAACATAATTATCATATAATTAAAATGTCCAAATATAAATATTTATTTATATATATTCTTGTGTATCTAATCATGTTGTCACACAATGTAATATACATTATATATATATATATATATATATATATATATATATATATATATATATATATAAAATCCAACTTTACTCCACTTACATATTCTACACTTTCATATGTTTTATGTGTGTAACCCTATTCAAGGCATCTATAAAATTCGCCATAATATAGAATACTACAAGTGATCTTGTTGAGCTTAATTGTTTTTTTTTATTTGTGCTTCTAACCATCTACTTTGAGAGCTTTTTACAAGATTAGTTAAGTCATAGGTTGGAGCATCTCTGTTTGGAGTAAAAATCTGCACAAAAATGGTGCAAAATTTGTTATGAAACAGCAATTCCGAGTGCCCGGGTGTTGGTATGCTATTAAGTTTCAGTTTTCTTAAGCCTTGGGTGTTTACATTTGATCTTTTATGGGCTGAAAATCTAAAAATTTTGCATTTTTAAGGCTGATTTTTGGGTATTAATGGAAAAATTCTGCACTTCTCAATATGATTTTTGGGCTATAAATTGGAAAATAGGCACCTTGTAAGCTTGTTTTTTTGAGTGCAGAATGAAAATTCTACACTTTTCACGGCTTATATGTGCTAAATTAGAAAAAAATCTACATATTTGAAATCTAATTTTTTATTCTTCAATGCTAAAATTACTTGGTCTTAGCCTTGTTTTTGCAGATTTTTAGGTTCAAGAAAAGCATGATAAAGATTGTAATGATGAACTGATGCCGCGTATACTTTTTTAGTTGCATTCCCCTTTCCCCTTCTCTCCTCGCTAAGTCTGTGCTACTTAATATTTGCATATCATTTAGATGCATCGAGGACTATACATAATTTAAGTGTGGGGGGAGGTTCTCATTATTATTCAATTGTTTAGGAAAGTATATTTTTGGGCAAATTTTTTTCTTCAAAATAGGTTTTGGGTCCAAATATTTTGTCATTCTTAGTTGCATATCTTCTAATTTAGAGCATTGTTTTCAAAGTTGACCCAAATACTTCATTTTTTCTTGAACTTTATTCTGAAAGATAGCAAGTGTATACTTTATAAACCCGCATTGAGTCTTATGCTCTTTTCTTGGTAAAAAATGACCTTAAAATGTTTGAAATCCTTTTAGGAATCCCGTAGAATTTTGTTTTCTAGAACTGGCCATCCACATACTATCTAGATGCTGCCTAATCAACCATTGCTTGATATTAAAATCTGAAGAAAAAACAGAGAGAAACCAGTTTTGGGAGCCTTTTATTTTTAGAAAATTGTGTGATTTTTATATTTTTAGGCTTATTGATGAACCTTGCTACCGCTGCTATTGAGCCGTTCTAAACCATAGGATTCCGCTAGGAAACTTTTTTGTAGCAGCTTTAGAGCATTTGTTAGAACCCAAAAAATGCACACCTTAGTTTTCCATCCTTGTAGGATTTCTAGCTCACATTGTTTTTAAAATGTGAATGGGCATAAAGTTTTAAGTACGAGGTTGTAAGGTGCATTTTTGTTCTTGATGATGATAAAAAGTTTTGTTTCTTTTTGGTCTTTTGAACGAGAACGTTCAACTCTTAAGTGTGGGGGTATTTGATAATTCGGGTTTGGGTTAGTTTTTTTTATTCTTTTTTAGGCATTTTTAATATTTTTAGAGTTTAATTTTTAGTTGTTTTGCGTAGTTTTATTTTAATTATAATTTTTACAATCTTTTAAATTTCTTGAATAAATAGTAGTTTATAATCATTTTTATACATCTTATTATTTATATTTTATTTTTCCTAACCCAAGTTATCAGATATCTTATTTTTTTGGAGAAAAATGTAGCAAAAGGCTAAATTGAAGCTCAAGTTTGAAAAAAAAGAGATTGATTTTAGGCCGGAGCCCAAACCATCATCAACAAAAGAAGACCAGCCCAGCATACTCTTTCTTCTCCAATCTCACGCACGACAAGTCTTCAACATCTATATATAAGGGCAAGTTATTTGTAGATTCAATGTTGTTGATCTAAATACTTCCACGCAATCCAAAGGTCCAAGTCTTTTGAAGACTCGATATATCTCAACATAGGGAATGCATAAGAATCATTCATTATGCAGCTATCTTTAGACCTATCATGAATATCATGATAAAGACCAAAATTATTTTATTCTAAATGTTATGAGTTGATAACATGCTAAGTCAGTGACTGTCACTGCATAGCAAAAGGAGCGTCCTTAAGGTATTATGAGATACCATCCAATGATGGTGTTATATGAAATGAAGAAATCATCTTGTGTGATTTAATTTCCACATACGCATAGTATACACATCGCAGAAAGGTTGCATATTTTGAATAGTAGTGAAGTAAGCTAAACGAGCTCTATGACACTAGCAAAGAAGTATAGTACATAGAAGCTTTTGAAGCAACTGGGCAAGGTGTTTGGGTCGAGAGCTATGAGCTCAATATGATTCTTAGTATGAAGGTACCATCCGTTGTAATGACAACGAGGGATCATAACACGCCAATGAACCACGGTCTCACCAAGATCGACTAAACACAACATCAGAAGTA